CTAGAAATGAGTGGGTAGGTCTGAGGTGGCTTATGTGAGCCAGGTCCCTGCCGTCCCCCCCGGGGTAGGCCGTGGGGGGCATCCCCGGCCGTGGGAGGGGGGATTGAAGGCTCAAGGAGAGGTTTCCTCTCCATGGAGATGGGCAGGGCAGTGTGGGGGGAGCTGTAGAAGGGAGTATCCCACTCCCGGGGCAGCTTTGGGTTTTCCCATTCTGTAGGAAGGGAGGGCAGGGTGTCTGTGGGGTGGGAAGAGGGTCCCTGTGTGCTGGGGGCGTGGAGGGAGTCGCAGTCGAAGGCACCTTTGGGGGTGGGCAGCCCCAGCAGGGCAATGGGTACCCGTGTCCATGAAGGGACAGTGTCTCACCCTGAAGGGAGAAGGGTCATCCCAGGGCAGGTGTTACAGTCCCCTTAGGGGTGTGGGGCCTGGAGGTGGACTGGGAGGGTTTACTGGGCTCAGCTGGGGACTGAAGAGTCGGTCTGGTTATAAAGGGTGGGGGTTTGGTTCTTCTCCTCCAGCTGGATGTGAGAGTGGCTCCAGGAACAGGCTCAGCTCTGAGACTCTGCTTATCACATCAGGATAACAACTTGAAACTCAGGTTAATTCTCCTTAGCAAAAAAAAAAAAAATTAATTCTGAAGTGCTATTTTTGAAAAGCTGATTTTGCTCCAATAAAATCCCGTTTCTCAGAGTTTCAGGACCATGCAAAGAGCTTCACGGCTGAAGAGGGAGCTCTCCCTCCTGACCACAGAGCCACCTCCCGGCATCAGCTGCTGGCAGACTGAAAACCAGCTGGATGACCTCCGGGCACGTACGTACTCACTGGTGGGGCTTTTCCATAAGCGAGGGCTGCGTTAGGGTTCGCTGGGTGGCGTGTGCTTTATGAGTTGCATGGAAGTGTGGAATTTTAGGAAAAGGCTTAGTTTTTTCTTGTTGTTCTTTAAACATAGCTTGGCCTCTGGCTTGGTCGGTCTGCCTACAGTTTTGGTTGCTGTGGGGCAGAGCTGGTCTCGGATAAGATGGTGTTTTCTTATTCCTGGGTCTCGGCAGTGTTAGAGTCACGTATGTGGAGATTGTTGGATAAATTCAAGTGATTTTTGAATGTAATGCTTACGTTTTAATTTTGCTTTTAAAGAAATCTTAGGAGGTGCAGACACACCGTATGAGAAAGGAATATTCGACCTGGAAATAGTTGTTCCTGAAAGGTGAGGGGGCAACGACATCTAGCGAAGCGGCTGGTGTAGTGCTGCTGTCAAACGCAGCTGCGCTGATGTCAGGGCTTTGCCGTGGTGCTGCCGTTGTGTGGCCTCCCACCAAAGAACGCGGTTGATTAGCTGAGACCCTCATTGAAGGGTCGTATTTGTCCTTTCCGTTGGCTGATTTCACACTGGGCATCCTATGCTGTGCAAAGAACGGCTGAAAGCCCCCTGACAGATCTCTGCCTTGCTGGGTTGCCTCCAAGCTGCCTGGGAAGGAGCTCATTCCTGAGCAGAAAGCTTCCTCTTGCGGTCGCTTCTCTGGGGAAGGTTGCCCAGGAACGTGCTCATCGGCCACAGCTGAAAGAACCAAGGGCCGAGCGCTGTCTCCCCCCAAAATCTGTGGGGGAAGGATGTCACTTAGGAAGTGCCCCGGAGGAGGAAATGATGGCGTTGCTCGGGCGATGAAGCAACTGGCATGCAAATAGAAAAATCCTGTTTTGTTTCTCCACACTCCCCCCTTGAAGGTACCCCTTTGAGCCCCCGAAGATTCGCTTTCTGACCCCCATCTATCATCCTAACATCGACTCTGCCGGAAGGATTTGCCTGGATGTTCTTAAATTACCACCAAAGGTAAGACAGCGCTGCTTGGGCGTGGGTAAGTGAGCCTGAGGAGGATAATGCTCCTTATCTCTGGCTTGTAAAAGCCTTCTTGAATGTCTGTTTGCTCCTGACTTATTTACACAGGAGCGCGGCAGGGAAGTTTTTGAGTAACCTCTCCTTTGTTTGGAGACTAGAACATGACCTTCCTCGCTCCATGTTCGTTTCCAAGGTTTTAAGGATCGGCGTCAAAAGGCACCAGGTGCCTCTCGGAGCGCGGGCAGCCCCAGCGCCGGCCCAGCAGAGAGGCACAGGATACAGCCCGGTCGTTGGTCAGATCCCCCTGTGCGTGGATCTGGTGTTTTCCAGGAGGGGGGGGATGAAGTCCTGAGGCGGCTCGTGGGCGGGCTGGGTCTGAAGGCTGCGAGGCCTGAGGTTCGTTCTGCTCAACCGCTGCTCTCGCCCCCTGTCCCCCAAGGGTGCGTGGAGACCTTCCCTGAACATCTCCACGCTGCTGACCTCCATCCAGCTGCTGATGGCCGAGCCCAACCCCGACGACCCTCTCATGGCAGACATCGTACGTCAGCTCCTCTTCCTCCCTTGGGGCTGGGAGGGGGGGCGGTGTGTTGGATTTAGGCTGCGCCTCCGCTCCGCTCGCTCTGGATTAACGTGCTGGCGCGTGGCCTGGTGGTGCAGCTCGGTCTGGGCCAGGCCTGGGGGCGCGACTGTGTTCCCCTGCAGCAGCTGGGGCGTGTGGTACGGGGTTGTGCCGGCAGAAAGGAGACCGCAGAGGCTCTCAGGCCTGTCAGAGCAACGGCGCTAAAGCAAAAGGAGTGTTGTGCTGCGTCCTCGTGGCGGGTTCGGTCTGGTTCTGGGAGTTCTAAAGCCAGACCCAGCATCTCGGTGGGATGTTGGTGTTGAACCAAATCTCTGTCTTGGTCTTGCTCCTTACGTTTAGTCCTCGGAGTACAAGTACGACAGGCAGCTCTTCTTGCGCACCGCCAGAGAGTGGACCGAGAAACACGCCAGCCAGCAGAGGAGGGTGAGGAACGCGCTCCGCTTCCTCGGCTGGGCGCAGCTCCGTCTGCAAACAGCCCTTCTGCTCTCAGGTTGCCTTTCGCAGTTACTTGTGCAGCTGTCCCTGGCAGCGTTCGTTCTTTCCTCCCCTTCTGCTCCGTGTTTTGGGTGGGTGATGAATTTCGTTAGACTTTTTCTAAGATCATTAGATTCAGCCCTTCCAAATAAACGTGCTCGTTCACAAATACTTGCAGTGCTTCTCGAGAAGGAGGACGAGTAAGGCTGAAGCCTGATAAAACCCTTC